CCATAGAGGGCCTTGCGCAGGCGGAGCACCTTGCCCTCCTTGCCGGGGATCGCAAATTCCGGCGGCTGGTGCGCGTAGACCTCATCCTTCAAGTCGCCGTTAAGGAACGTCGACTTGACGTCCATGTGATGAACACGCCAGCCCTCCTGGGTAGCTAGCGCAAGGAGTCGTACGGACTCCATCCGTGCCATGGGAGCGAAGGCGTCGTCGAAGTCGACCCCCTCCTGCTGCACGAAACCTCGTGCCACCAAGCGAGCCTTGTGCTTGACGATGGCGCCGGCTTCATCCCTCTTCAACTTGTACACCCACTTAAGGATGATCGCGCGGTGACCGCGAGGAAGGTCAGCAAGCTCCTAGGTGCGGTTCTTCTCAACTGCATCCATCTCCAACTGCATCGCGGCGCGCCATGCCGCATGTTTCTTGGCCTCTGCAAACGACCGAGGCTCGCCGTCGTCACACGCAAGGTGCAACTGCGCCTCCAGGTCGTGAGGCACCGGTCCCGACACCGGCTGGTCGCCGAGAAGGTTCTCCATCGTACGGTACCGCAACGACTCGCCGTCGTGGTACGCGTCGATGCGCTCCTCGTCGTGAGAGAGCGGAGTAGCGAGCTCAACCGGGCTGTGCTCGACACGAGCTGGTGGTGGAGTAGACGTGCCCGGAGAGGTGCCTGTCGGTGTTGGAGTGCGTGGCGGTGCCGGCTGTGGTGGAGTCGGCGAAGAACTCATCGTAGCCGAGGTCCTGGCTGAAGAGCGTGGTGCTGTCGGAGTAGCAGGCGCCAGGGTCGGTGGAGGCTCGGGGACTGGGGTAGACGCGCTCGTCAAAGAAGAGCTGCCTACTCCCCCAGCTCCCTCGAAGTGGACGTACTCGACAGTGAAGTCGTCGTACGTCGGAGACGAGCCGTCGTCCACTGCCTTGTCCCACACCCATCCTCGCCCTTCGTTGAACACAACGTCGCGCGCCGTGCGCACATGCTGTGTCTTTGGGTCGAGGATGCGGTAGGCCTTCGAGCCCTCTGCGTAGCCGATGAACACTCCCGGAGTGCTCCTGTCGTCTAGCTTGCTGATGTGGCCAAGCTCTTTGGCGAACGCGAGGCAGCCGAAGACCCGCAAGTGGGAGACCGCCGGCTTGCGCCCATGCCAAGCCTCGTACGGCGTCTTGCCGTCGAGCGCCTTGGTAGGCGAGTGGTTGAGGATGTAGACGGCCGACACCACCGCCTCTCCCCAGAAGACAGCCGGCATCCCCCTTTGCTTGAGAAGGGCCCAAGCCATCCCCACAACCGTCTGGTTGCGCCGCTCGACGATGCCGTTCTGCTGCGGGCTGTACGGCGTGGAGTAGTGGCGCTGAGTGCCCTTATCAGCGCAGTACGACGCGAATTCAGCCGCCGTGAATTCGCCGCCGTTGTCGGTGCGCAGCACGGCAGCTTGCGGCCGCACTCCGCCTCCGCAGCAGCCTGCGCGCGCCTGATGGCGTCTGCAGCCTCTCTCTTGCTGCCGAGGACCATCACCCACATGTAGCGGGAGAGGTCGTCGACGAGCAGCAGGAAGTAGCGTCGTCCTCCCGGTGTGGCCGGTGTCACCGGGCCACACAAGTCCCCGTGCACAAGCTCGAGCCTCTCCTTGGCTCGAAAGCTCGCCCGCTGGGGAAAGGGGAGTCGCCTCTGCTTCATCAACACATAGACGTCGCAGAGCTGCTCCACATGGTCGAGGCACGGCAAGCCTCACACCATCTTCGTGGCACTGAGCCGCTTCAGGGCAAAGTGAAGGTGCCCGAAACGCTCGTGCCATTGCCACGCCTCGTCGTCCCGACGAGCAGCCAGACAGAGGGGTTGTGCCACCTGCACGTTAAGGACGTAGAGTCGATTTGCGCTTCTGGATACCTTGGCAAGAAGGCGACGACGGCGATCCCAAATCCTCATGACTCCATCCTCAACCACCACGCGCGAACCGTTCTCACCTAGCTGTCCCAAGCTGATGATGGAGTTCCTTAACGCGGGGATGTAGTAGACTCCGGTGAGCAGCCTGTGCTCACCAGACACGGCGGTGAAGATGACGGAGCCAACGCCCTTGATCTCCATGCCGGAGGCATCCCCAAACTTGACAGAGCCTCGGACGCTAGAGTCAAGCTCGGTGAAAAACTCTCGTCGACCGGTCATGTGATGGGTGGCGCCGGTGTCGAGGCACCACCCGTCAGTCTTGTCGTTGTTGGAGCCATCGCCGAGGAGGGCGTGTGCTTTTGGCTCGTCAAGGTGGAGAAGGGCCGCTGCGGCCGGTGCCGCTGGAGGTAGCTCGATGCTTGCATGTGCCATGAACAGAGCCGGCTCCTCCTCCGCCTGTGCGATGTGGGCCTGGCCGCGTCGTGGCTGTCGACCGTCCTTGGCCCAATGGCCAAGTAGCCGCCGCCGATTCTTGCGGCGGTGTCGTCTCGTCGGGCTTTTGCTGCCGGTGGCGCCGCCTGGCGGCGCCTCATGGGCATCACCCTCGGCTGCGTCCTCGTGCCCACACTGGCGTCTCTGCGCGACTTGCGCGGCTTGCCATGCTTGTGGCCGCCTGTCACGGAAGAAGGTTCCCCCTTCTTCCGATCATCTTGGCTGGCAAGCCACTGCTCCCGAGTGAGAAGGAGCTTCCCGCCAGTGGTGATGGGCCCCGAGAGATCAGGGCTCATCGGCGCCGACGACCTTGAGGCGACCTATCGCCTCTTCGATCGACATCGTGGAGAGATCCAGCGAGAGACTTCGATTGAACGAGCCATCTACTTGTACTTCTCGGGGGCGCAGCGGGAAGAGCTTTTCGGCGGCTCTCTTCTCGCCGTAGGTGTCATCGCCAATCGCACCATCTTACGCAGCAGAGTGTTGAGACGGAGAGCAAAGTCATCAACGCGTCCTCACACGGCTTGAAGGCGTGTTCTCCCACTCCTTGCGAAGTGCTGCGGTGTGGACTTCTTGCGGCGCGGTCATCGCCGATCGCGTCTTGCGATGATGGCGTCCCAAGCCTCCTTGGCGATCCGCTTGTTGGTAGCGAGAATCGCATCTCGGCGGGGCTCGCGGCGATGATGAGGGCATCCGGCGCCGTCGATCTAGGTCGTAGTCGACGCGTCGCCGTCTGGGACCGCCTCCCACATGTGCCGCACTGAGCTTTACCTCATCACCGCAGCCCACTCGGCGTGGTTGGTCTTAGTGAGGGTAGGCCACCCACCGCCGGGGCCGACATCCCCGACGACACTGGAGCCCGTGGTAATCACGGTACCGATCCGGGAGAGAGCCCCGCTACTGTGAAGGCCGCGCTCTCCATCGACCCGTCCCGCCACCGCCGCCGTCGCGCACCACATTGTCGCGTGTTTCCTCCAGAGCGCCGCCGCCGTCGCGTCGTCTCTCCTCTGAGAGCGCCGCCGCGCCGCGCTTCGTGGCGTCTTGTCCCCCATCGCGCCGCCGCCGCGCTCGTCCCGCCTCCCTCCCAGCAAACTCGAGGTCCGGTCGGTAGCGCTGCGTCGCAGAACGGAGTCAGCTGATCTTCGCTGCAGCGAGGCCTCGACCTCTCTGCTGCCGTCGCATCGCCTTGCACATCATTCACCGCTCTTTGCTTCCGCCTCCGCTCTGCCTACCAGCCTCATTTGCCCGACCTCGATGCCCTTGCCGCCGCCGCAGCGGTCTCTGCCGCCGTTCGCTCGTGTTCCTCTGCCGCGGCAAGTTCGGCCTCCTGCCGACGCCGTGTGCTCGAGGCGATCGAGCGCTGAGACTGCCCTGCGGACATGACGCGCTACCGGGGGGCTGCTGCGTGGGGAGAGGGTTGCTTCGTCTGCGCAGAGGGAGAGGAGTGAGCAGGAGCGGCCGGAGGAGCTGCTGCTACCAACAGCTGGGGCTGTTGTGGGGCTGGGAGATGAGATGAGCAGGAGATGCTCAGGCTACAGGATAGTACGGCTCTGATACCAGTTGTTAGTCGCTGAATTCTTACTCTTGGTAGTAGCAGAATTCTTACTCTCATCGAGAGAGGATGACACTAGGAGTTGGGGTAATTTTTTGGTTTATTTCTCAATGCCATACCAACCTGAGGGGTTGGGGGTACATATTTATAGGCTGCTAGCCGGTCAAGCATATGCCAAGATGCTTGTCTAAGATGCTAGTCTAAGATGCTGTCCTAGATGTTAAGATGCTGTCCTCTAAGATGCTATCCTAGATACTAAGATGCTGTCCTCTAGTCTAAGATGCTGTCCTAAAAACAGACCATGCAGTCATAAGGACCATATGACCAGCACAGCCCCACAAAGACCAGCCAACACATGAGACTTATCCCATCAGCGCCGATGTAGCGCGCCACTAAGGAAGCGACAACCCGATCCTTGCTCACTTGACACCATGCCCAGATCACGACACGGCGCGTCACCAAGGGGGTGTCGACCCGGCCCTTGCCCATTTAACACCATACCCGGGTTCCGATATGGCGCGTCGCTAAGAGGGTTACGTCCACACCTGGACACAATATTAAAGATGCTATTCCTTCTAGGCAAATATCTTTGAAAATATTTCACCGCGCCAGTTGCGCTGGCACTGCCAAAGGGGTTATATTTGAATTTTTTTTTGAACTCGGCTGTTATCAAAATATAGAAAGGTTAAAAATAAAAAATCGCTGAGGTGCTAGTAAATTCACGTAGGTGTGGAGTTGTTTTTTGAGCGAAATGTTTTGAAGCAGTGTGTTTGTTAGAAACTGAGGAACATCCACGTTCTATAATTTACATTTTTTTTATGTGGATCATTAATGCTCCTCCTGGTCCATTCCAGACCTCTTCTCCTCCGCATGTCAAGGATGGTTGGTGCCATCCACCTTATTTTCTCTCTCATTGCAAGGAAAAATTGACTTTTGCTAACCTCAACCTTCTGTAATAATATTCTTTGGATTTATAAGCCATATTATTTTAGCGAGACATGGTGAGAGCATGTGCCCTAACAGAAATGGAATTTGCAGGAGGTATTCTGTTGCTCATTAGGTCCTTCTTTCTTGCCTTCTACCATGGCCTCCACAATGAAGATGGTGAGGAAAAAGCTGGACCGTGAATCAGAAAAGTCCATCATATTCCAGTTACTTCATCACAGTAAGCCAGATCTGGTAACAACTGATGGGCATGGTTCTTCTGACTTAAATTCAATCATTGGAAGGGAGAATGACAAGGCAAACATAAAAATAATAATAAATGATGCTGGCCCATTTTCCATCATTCCCATAGTTGGCCTTTCTGGAATTGGCAAAACAGCTCTAGCAAGGTTAATTTTCAATGACCGGGGAGAAGACTGCAAGTTTGATCACCATATATGGATCAGCCTTAATATGAGCTTTGATCTTTGTTATATTGTCAATGGTATAATATCACAAGCTGGCAATAAAGGGGAAGGACCTTCGCAGAAGAACAAGTGGACCCTAAGGAATCTTCTTCAAGAAATTCTTACTGATAAAAGAAGTCTTGTTGTGCTAGATGATCTCTGGAGCATGGATAGAAACCAACTTGATGAGCTAAAGGAAATGATGAGCACTGTGATTTGTTCAGTAATAGTCACAACATCCAGTGAAGAGGTTGCCAAGTTATTTAATACTGTTTCACCCTACAAATTAGGCCTTTTATCTGACAGCGACTGTTGGACGATATTTTCTGGAGTTGCATCCGAAGATCAAGAAACCAGGGACCATGTTGTCAGACTGTGTCAAGGCATGCCAATTGTTGCTCATTCTCTCAGTTCAGTGGTACATGCAAAGGGTAAAAATGTTTTGAAAGATGCAAACAACAAAGAACTATGGCATCTGGAGAAACGATTAGTGCCCAAAGTTAAAATGTTCCGACCACTCAAACAAATTTACTATAGAATGCCATCAGGATTGAAATCATGTCTTGGATATTTGTCCATCTTCCCCAAAGGATTTCATATTGATACAGAAAAGCTTATTTGGCAATGGAGTGCACTTGACATGCTTGGATCCAGTCATGGGATCTTATCTCCATATGTGCAAGGGAAGAATTATATCCAGAGCCTTCTGTCAATATTCTTTCTTCAAGCTCCAGATCCATGCTCGGTATGACACAAAAGTTCTCTATACTCAAGATCGCACTTCATAATATGACTTTAAAAATAACCATCCATACAAAATGGAAAAACTTTCCCAGTTTTAACCAAAGAGAGTCAATGTGCATTTTCAACAAAACGATATCCTATCTTTACCTGATAGTTCATTAGGGTTCTTTCCCTTGTTCTATTTTCATTGCATCAACAACATCCTATGTTCTTTACTATTCAAACTTTTCAATAAAGACAAAATGCTGCTGGATCCATTTTTATTTTCTGAATAAAAACTCTATGGATGTGGTCTATCCAATCCAATCCCACTATCCACTAAGCATGTGTAAAACGAGAAGAGCTAGGGAGGAAAGCAATATGGTATTACATACTTTATATGGCAGAAATGGGAAAAAAGACAATACAGAATGGTGGAAAAGGGAGAAGTGCAAATTTGTAACAGTTGATAGAGAATAGCACATCACTTACTGGTAGAAAAACTCAATATCAGCATCACTGAATCCCCAGTATACCTGATCCTGCTTTGCATGTTTTCGTTTCAAATTATCTAGTAGTTCAATAGAATTTTCCTACTGATATCTTGGCTACAAGACTATGATGTTACAGATTAAGAGTATCTGCTCGAATTTCACATTGGAAATCTGTGATGATACAAAAATAACTAGAAGAATTTTGTGTATAGAGGATGTGCTAGGATAATCTGAAATTTGTCTTCTAGGTAAAGTAGAAGCGCACTTCATCGTGTGACAGGGTTAGTTTTCAACCAACAAGTTGTTGTATTTTCAGAAGGGCCATAGGTTAAATACATTTCATGTACTCCCTTCATATGGATTGCGTCTGAAGAAAGTGTTTTATCCCTTGTGATTTCCATCTTCATAGCGGTTCAACTGGAATTTAGAAGAAAATTCATCAATAGCCACCAATTTTTGGCAACTCTATTCTACACACTAGGTGTAGCACTTTATTCTACACCCTGACAAAATTAATCATGAACATGGACACATGGTTCACTAGCAGGCTGTCAGTAGTCACACTTAGTAGAAAATGTAGCTACACCAAATGCATTACTGAATGTAATTTGAATAGCAACTACTAAGTGCGACTAAGCCTGCTAATGAACATGGACACGTGGTTCAGTAGTCTGTACATTCGGTTCAGTAGTTTGCGATCAGTTTTGTCAATATTGAATTTTGGGTGTAGAATAAGCTGCTACATTTAGATGGGGAATAGTGCTGCTTATGAGAGGGGAGGAGGGATATTTCATGTTTTTCATCTGCTTGCTGTAGGGTCAAGCGTAGCACTGACTGCTGTATATGCAGTTGTTTTTGTTATCCTTGTTGTGTGCAGTTTCAAGTGTAGCCAGAGCTAAGGGCTAGCTATGATGTATATTTGAAACCTCACTTTTACTTAATGCAATGATGTGTTCTAATAGCGCTTATGTGTGTTGAACAAAATAAAGTAAGAAATAATCCAACCAACAAGAAACTCCCTAAATCCACTTACCATGCAATAAAATTTGAGGGAAATCCTCTAAAGATAGAACAGAAATAATTGCGGCTTCAAGTATTAGTGATCGCAGAGCCCTTTTCCTGTTGTCTTCATGGACCGCTTGATTTTTATCCAACTTCATTGATAAAAGCTTAAGAGCATTAACTTAAAAGATAATTATATGCCTTAATTAACCATATCCAAATGCATACAGTGTCTACTGATGCGACTAACCTTTTTTGAATATTCTTGGAACTTTTGGGAAATGCTTTGCACACAACCATAAACTACAACTCAATTACCAGCATGTATCTAAACCAATTTTATGTGTTTATTTATAGGTCTTCACCCAAGTGATTTGAACCATTGAATACTATGTTGTACTGAGATGTTTGTACATGTAGCCATACTCTAATCTCAAAGTGAGACTAGGTAAAAATGTTTAGGTATGATATTTATTTTCAAGTCAAGCGCATGATTAAGTGTTTTGCATATCCAGGCGAATGGTATGGTTCTCACCAATGGTAAAAATGTGCTCGAAATGCACAGCTTGGTACATAGCTTTGCCAGATATCTGTCGTGTGATGAGCTCATAATTTTGGAAGATCAAATAGCACCTGTTAGGAGCAAAAAAAAGGTAACGTTCCGGTATGCCCTATTGTTAGAATGCAATGAAGCTTCAACGATTTCAAAAGGTTTCCTCACCAGGGCAAGGGCCGTAAGTTTCAAAGGCTGTAAAGGAAGAAAACTTCCTGAAGAAGCCCTCTCCGCACTGAGGCACTTGAATGTATTGGACCTTAGTGGATGTTCCTTTCTTGAGTTACCCTCTTCTGTTGGCCAGTTGAAGCACCTGAGATACCTTGATGTTTCTCACTCAGCAGTTCAGTCATTACCATCTGAACTGAGACATTTGCAGAATCTTGAGGCGCTGGATCTTTCGAAAACTTCTGTCAGTGTACTACTAGATCCCATTGGACCATTTCAGAAGCTAAAATATTTGAATCTGCAAGAATGTCCCAACCTTAGAGACTTGCTTCGGACTTTTGGAGATCTCAAGGGACTAGAACACCTAAATCTCTCGCGTTGTTCTGGTGTTAGTGAACTACCTGAAACCCTTTGTGGTTTTTCTGCACTGCAATTGTTGGATCTCTCGGGTTGTGCTGAACTTGAAAAATTACCTCAATCACTCGGTAGTTTAAAAAATTTAGGTGATCTCAACCTATCTGGTTGCTCCAGACTGGAGCAATTATCAGAATCCTTCCATGAACTTTATTCTCTCAAGTTCCTGAACCTAGAAAGCTGTTCTATGCTTCAGCAATTGCCTCATTTATTCGGTAACTTAAAAACATTAGAAATTCTGAACCTAGCAGGTTGCATCAGTCTACAGGAGCTGCCAAAATCTTTTGGTGATCTTTATTTTCTCCGGGTCTTAAACCTTGAAGGTTGCTTTGGGCTTCAAGAGTCACCTGAGTTTCTTGGCAACTTATTAAATTTGGAGAATCTGAATCTGTCACATATTTCTCTTGAGCTACCAGAAGCTTTAATCAATTTAAGGAGGCTTCATACATTGGACCTCACCGGATGTGGTTTCAAGAAATCATTTGCTGATATTATAAATAAGATGACAAATCTCAAGTTTGTGTTGACTGATGATTCGAGGCTTGCACTCTCATTTTCCAGACATATTATTGTCTCTACAGAGAACAATAAACAATCCTGTTTGGCTAGCCATATGGTTCAGAGCAGCGACCTTGAACGAGATGGTATTATGGGGGAAACAGGCGCTGAAGAAATTCTTGAGACCCCAGAAACAAGAAAGGGTACCATAGACAGGGCAAATCCACAACAAGAAACAAGCAATCCGTTTCAGCTGGTAAACTTCTTTTTTTCTGTTTCATTGGCATGAAAAGAAGACTTCATTAGCATTTTTAGCACCAAAAAGAAAGAAGGCATAACTTCATACTAGAACCTGGAAACAGTAAGTTCAAATAATCAATAATTATTTAGTGATTATCGCTTAACATTTTGGAAAACTGGGTAACAGTTTTTATGGAGTCGAAGAAATTCTAAAAACCTGCACTAGTTTCTAAAATGTGGTTCAACAATTAGATGCCAATAGTTTCTAAACCTAATTTGACAACTTTTGGAAGCGTAACATATACATTTTTTTAAAACAAACTAGTTCAGCTAGTTTTGAAAACCAGTTAACAATCTTAGTGAGTGTTAATTAGACAGTTACGGATCTAGCGAAGTTCATTAGTCAGAAGTCTCCTATGTTTTCCTAGTTAAATGACAGTACTTTGATGGCAAGTCTACAGGTTTAATTTCTATTCACAAATATAAATACTTTTTTGTGTAAATGTGAATTGAATGGTCAAAGTTTCTAAATCTTTCTCCTACGTTTTAAAAGAGATAAATCAGTACTGGAGTTTTTGTTTGTAACTTAACCTTTACCTTGAATTGACCAGATAGCTATGGAGAATAAAGCTTCTTCTGCAGATGTGTTTGGATATAGTTCTGAGAATGTTGAGTGCTCAGCTGGTAATGTTCGTTGTTTTATTTAATTAATAAGGACTCTTTACCATATACAGTTCATTAGTCAGCAGGTACCCCCACTGGCTGGCTTTAAACATTTAGATATGCATGCCATTGACATGTAGTGAGGCCAGTTGCTTGTTTTCCAAAATGCTGCTATACGCAAGAATATGATGACTTCATCCACTTGATGTATGACCACAAACTCAGATTTGTTCATGGCCTGTGTGGAGGGGGCATGTGCACCAGCTGGTCATACCAATACCATAGTTGTCAGATATGATGGGTGGAGGTAGGAATGCATGGGGGGTGGGTGTGTGTTGGGGGGGGGGGGTGCTTATGTGAAGTTGCTCAAATTTAGATTGTCTACCTGTTCTGTGAACAAATTGTTTGGTAAGCTGGTTTCCCCCTGCTTCACTGCAATTCCATTCTGGAGTGGTCCGAGCATTTCGGGCATGCTAGTCCTTTGGGTGTGGGACCAGATTTGCATAAAAAACATTTTTGGGTGAAATCAGCTGTGAGCTTTTATATTTATAGCGTGAGGTGGACTTATCCTGTGAGGGTCGAATTCCCTTAAAATTGCATCTGTCGAAGGCATTCATAAGGGTATCAGCCCTACCAACCTAATAGAAGGATCACATTTAATGCTTGTTTAGAACCTACATGTCATTATGAGTATTCATTGCAAGGACAGATTTCGAATGACTGCTTTTTTCCTTGATTTAGAGGATTCATTGGACACAACAATAGAGATGCAGCCCCATCGACAAGGGAAAGAAAAGACCCCTACAGAAGAAGATCCGGAAGATTTCAATCCCCGTGCATCTTCCACTTTGTCAAGTAGAATATCAGGTGAGACTCTCCGTCTTTTGGTTGAGGCATAACCCCATACTTTCTAAGATTCTAGGAATGCTTAAAAAATAAATAGTAAATACTCATGTCCAAAGTCTATCTAAGTTATAAAAACCCATGTTAAAGTCTCCTAATAGTCCATACTTACGCATAATGCCTTCTTATACTTTTATCTACGTGAGCCGACACTACAGCATCAATAGGCTAATATATTACATAAAAATATAATCAGGTAAATTGGTTTTGTTTTTTGGATTCTGAATCTAAATCAGAAATAGAAGCTCGTATTGCATCTAGTTGTCATCCTGTAAAAAAAACGAATTCCAACCTAGGAGGAACTAGGTGGTTGTTCATTAAAAATAGAAATAGGCACCCAAATTCAGTCTTAGAGAGTACTTGAACCTGGGTGGTTGGGTGCATGACCACACCTCTCACCCAACCAGTGGAGCTAGGCTCGCTTCCTTAGTTGTTGTCCTGTACATTGACGTTTTTATATCCTCTGCCTCCTTCAAGAGATCTTCCATATCTTTAATATTCCCTAAGTGCGAACAAGCAACACTCCACTTAACAACCATAGCTGCTCCAAGCAAGCCCCCTACACAATTCTAGTAACAATTGGTTTCTATTCTAATCACTTCACCACACAAAGCTACTAGCTACTCTAGGCTAGAACTAACAAGCTACACAAGCAACTAACACACAGACAATGAATATGAAAGTAAATGCAAGTGTGTAGAGATCACCGAACCGGGCAAGAGACAATAGAGACAATCAATTTTTCTCCCGAGGTTTGGTTGCTTGCCGGCAACTTAATCCCCATTGTGGCGAGTCTCAAGGTGAATGATTTGCGCACTCACTAGCGTGATAAGCTAGACCCACAACTTTGGTGTCGTAAGAATCAATCCCAAGAGCACTAACTAGCCACGAGTGATCCACTAGAGTATCTCTTCGCACCCTGCAAGGTGGGATCAAGAACCTTTCACAAATCACTAGCACCAACACTCCACTTAACAACCATAGCTGCTCCAAGCCGTCTAGGTAGCGGCAACCACTAAGAGTAACAAGTAACCGCAGCCCAATCGAAGAACTAGTGCCACTAGATGCAAATCACAAAAGAAAATGCACTAGATCTCTCTCAATCTCACTTTAGATCAAGCACAAGTCAAGAGATGAGTAGGAGGTGTTCTTGGAAGCTCAAAAGTGTGTTGGATTGCTCAGAATGCCAAGAGAGATCTCAAAGAGCCGGCCAACTTCTATTTATAAGCCCCCTCTAAGAACTAGTCGGTTGGGCTGGCTGAGTGGGCCCTTGCGTAGGCACCGGATTGGTCCGGTGCCTGACAGAGTCCACAACCATTCTATACGCAGCTTATAATCTGGAGCCAACAAGTCAGTACCATCGGATCAATCCAGTGACTTCGCACGCTCAGGTCACAGTCAAACCAGCTGTGAACCCCTAACGACTAGTGTAGCTTATAGTCCGGTGACCGCCCAACTGTGAACCACCGGATCAATCCGGTCGCCACCAGTAAGGTTCCAGAGACGATTTTTGGCCAATGGATTGATCCTGCACCGAGCACTGGATCAATCCGGTTAGTATACTGAAAATGCCCCTCTAGAACAGTACTAGCGCATGATCCGTTGACCCCAGGGGCTAACCATTGGATCAATCCGGTGGCTAACCCTAGCCACTGTTAAGTCTCCTCTGCGCACCATTATAGTCCGGTGCCTCTACTGCCTCATCACCGGATGAATCCGGTGAGTGCAGAGACACCTCACTTAGCTCCATTTCAACCCCATTTTCAAATGTGCTAACTCCTTCAAGTGTACACCACATGTGCCTGTGAGTTAGCATTTTCCAAACATTTTCACGGGGTTTTCACTTGCATCTCACCACGTCACTAGGTCTAATGCATATGCAAAGCCATTTGACACCTAGTGGCACTTAGATAACCGATTAGACTTTATAGTTCCCCTCTTAATAGTATGACTATTCTAAACCTGATCACACACTCTATTGTTATGAAGCATGGATGCTTGTTATAAACCGCTAGCATGGATGCTTGTTATCGGTGCCCAACCTTATCTAAAGCAGGTTTGGAATTTTAGAGCCAAAAGAAATTAAAAACTGCATAATTTCTATTTTTATTAAGAAAATATATTGTCTCCGTGGACCTATTTCTTGTTCTTATTTTGAAGTATGGAAGGTTCCATCTCTCAAGGGTTTTATTTAGAACCATTGGGGATAGATCCTTCTCTCTCATGATTCAAAACCATAAGGTTCGTCTCCCATGACATTTAACTTGAGTTGTTAGAGATAACACAATCTAGGATTGTTCTGAAGGATCCTTGAGAGTGAGGCGCCCAATATTATGTTTATGTAGTGGTAGTTACATTTTTTTTTGAGCCTAGACTCCTAGTGTACAAGTTGTAGTATCTGTACTCTACACAACACACTCACACCACTACACACGCACACCCCTAGAAACTACAACCTATACACCTCAAACGTCCTTCTGGAGATCACCGAAGCCATACGAGCCTCGTAGACGACGGGCACGTCGTAGTCCCATTGTAGCGCCACGCGAGTGTCCAGGACCTGCACGAAACAAATATGGGGAGGAAAAACCCCGGTGCCACACCCGGCCGATCCACAACTGGGATTCGAACGCGGGTGGATGGCCTCCACGACGGGAGCGCTCACCACTGCGCTACTAGCGTTGATAGTGCACTTATTTGTTCTTGTAGATGTTAATATATTTTTCTATAAAAGCTTGGTCAAACTTGGAGAAGGTTGACTTAGCATAAAGCCAAAGTGAACTATTATTTGGAACAGGGAATAGTCTAGTAACTCCGTGAATAGTCGTAGGTACCTCCTCACATGCAAGAGTCTCAGCATTGGCCCCTCGTGTATGCTTTCTGTCATCTCCATTTGGTAGTGCTTTTGCCCCTAAAGAGCAGGCTACTTGTCCCATGTACAGGCACCATGACCACTCATTTTTCCTAATTTAGCAGACTCATTGAATACAACAGTTGAGAAGCAGACACACAGACAAGGGAAAAAAGAGAACCCAGCAAAACAAGACCTTGAAGATTTCAGTCCATGTGCCTCTTCCACTGTTAACAGATTACCGGGTAAGATTCTATATTCCTGTTTAGAGGATACTGTATCACAATATAATCTCACTGCGAGTTATTGCCTAGAGTTTGTAATAGCTGACCATTATGATGTAACTTGGTGGTGGTTGGTGATCATGTAAAACAACAGACCAATGATTGGTAGTTTTTTGATTCAATATCGCTTCCCCATTAAGGATACTAAAGATTGCAATGGAAGTTTGCAACTTAAACAAGACTCTCGGCAAAAACTGTGGATATTTAGTAACTTACCGCCGTGTGTAAGTTTGTTTCATCTTACATCACACACTTGAATCTAAATTGATCTCCTTTTGGATCCGGAATCTAAATTGTTTGTAACTGGTAATTAGACTTCTATTCATGTATAATTGCATTAAATGTAACATTATGGTAGAAAGCCGAAATGCATAGACACAAGCAATGGGGGAAGACGGAAGATAAAGGGGAAATTTTTGAATACTTAATCTGGTTGTCCATGAAGGGCGTGCCTGGTGCAAGCGGTAGAGTCTTACCGCCTGTGACCGGAAGGTCCCGGGTTCGAGTCGCGGTCCCTTCGCATTGCACAGGCGAGGGTAAGGCTTGCCACTAACACCCTTCCCCAGGCCCCGCATAGAGCGGGAGCTCTCTGCACTGGGTACGCCCTTTTTTCTTCATCATCTATGCTGTTTTAAGTTTTCCTTAAATTCTTAGTGTCGCCTCACCTCACTCTTTAGTTGCTTAAGTGTAAGACAGTAGTCAGTCGCCACGCATTGCCTTATGGCCATGATAACTATGGTTATCTCTTTTGATAAGGGTTAGGCCATATCTTGCTTTAAGGGCCCATTGGTAGGGCTCATAGTCACATGGTTTCTTGGTCAACAGGGTCGAGGAACAGGGTCAAGGTACGTGGTAGCTACACTGCAGGGTCGAAAATGACCCTGCGAACCCGGGTCGGGGTCGATGTTGCCAGGTCGAGGGTTGATGCCTTCACCCCATTTTATGTGGCTATGGTAGGGCTTCTAAATGCGCTCTGGCTTCTCAAGAGCTGGAGCTTCTAAAACCTAATGGGGTGCCAAAACAATGGCTTCGCCCCTGAAGCCACCAAGGAGCTGGAGCCTCCACTTTTGGAACTAGGAACCGGAACAAAAAATTTTAGCTTCTACCAGCTCCTCATCTAAAAAAAATACTCTCCGAAGCCACTTTGTCAATATTTTTTTACAAAATGCTTCACTCCACTAAAGAAGCTTGCTCCAGTGAGCTGAAGCTATTTTAGGAGAAGCGGAACCACGATAAACCGCCCTTAGAGCTCTGTTATGTTTATCGAGGATTTACTCCACGTGATAGTTTATGAAAGATCAGGGGTAGAATAACATCAACCACTACTAGGATAATTTATATTTACTATTGTTAGTTATTTGTGAAGGTTATTGATAGAATTGTGACTCCTTAGCTTTTGGGCTAACCCTAGAAGGGTAGCTATATGGGAGTCATACATGGGCCATATGGGCCTTAATACACACATACTCCAACACCCCCATGATGGAACTACCGCAAGCAATGAGTTCTGAGACCGGACATGAAAAGAAGAACACACACGAGCCCCCCCCACAGACGCAACTAGCCACCGGTGATGTTGAGGCCGGAGCGAAACTCGGAGAAGGTGGAGGACGGGAGGCCCTTGGTGAAGATGACGGCAAACTGGGAGGTGGTCGGGACGTGGAGGACCCGAACATCGCCGATGGCGACCCGATCATGGACAAAGTGAAGGTCGATCTCCACATGCTTGGTCATTTGGTCTTTGAAACAGGGGTTGGTGGAGAGGTACACCGCACCGATGTTGTTGCGATAAACAAGCGTGCTCGGGAGAGGGGGCTGTGGAGCTCGGCAAGAAGTCGGGCGGAGCCGGAGGCCTCCGCCACGCCGTTAGCGGCACACCGACGGTACTCCGCCTAAATCCACTTGAACGGGAGACCACCGGCTGGCGCTTGGACGACCAGGACACCAGGTTGCCGCCCAGAAAGACAGCGTAGCCGGAAGTGGAGCGCCGAGTGTCTGGACACCCGGCCCAGTCGGCGTCAGTGTAGACGACGAGCTCGGTGGAGGGAGACCGGTGGAGTAGCAGGCCGTAGTCGGCAGTGCCTCGGAGAGGTAGCGGAGGAGGCGCTTGAGAAGCGATGAGGGGGCTCTCGGGGATCATGCATGTGGAGGCATATCTGCTGAACTGCATAGGTGATGTCTGGCCTGGTGAAGGTGAGGTACTGAAGTGCGCCTGCAAGGCTCCGGTCTGTGATGGGGGTGCAGCCTTTGGGTTGCCACGCCTCCTGATAAGCTTGGCTCGAGTGTCAAGCGGAGTGGAAGCAGGGCTTGCGATCGATCATCCCAGCTCGCTCCAGAATATCAAGAGTGTACTGTCGCTGGTGAAGAAGGAGATCGGTGGGACGAGGCTGAACTGTGACCCCGAGGAAGTGATGGAGCACACCAAGATCCTTCATAGCGAACTCTGTTGAAGAGAGGTGATGATCTGTGGGAGGAGTGATGAATTGGAGGTCTGTGAGCACAATGTCATCAACATAGAGCGGCCAGATAAGCGATCTCGGCTCCGTGGTGATAGATAAACAGAGAAGAATCTCGACTTTGCCTCCACGAATCCCAATGTCGGCAGTAGTGGCAACAAACCGAGAGTACCAAGCCCGAGGGGCTGCTTGAGGCCGTAGAGGACTTGTTGAGCCGGCATACCATATCGGACGAGAAGAGTCCGAAGCTGCGAGTGGCTGCGATGAAACTGTCTTAGTCAGAGTACCGTGCAGAAAGGCATTCTTGACGTCCAGCTGGTGCACGGGCCAGGAGCGAGAGAGAGCCAGTGAGAGAACCGTGCGGACGGTAGCCGGCTTCACCACTGGACTGAACGTCTCATCGTAGTCAACGCCAAGGCGCTGAGTGAAACCCCGGAGAACCCAGCGAGCCTTGTACCAATCAAGGGAACCATCACCCGCCGCTTGTGTGTCCGAGATCCACTTGCCGGTAACAACGTTGGAGCCAAAGGACGGGCACCAGATCCCATGTTTGGTTGGCGAGGCGCGCCACAGTACTCCTCCATCGCGAGCGATGCGGTGAGGCTCGACAAAAGGCGCGCGAACGGAAGAGGCACAGGAGAGACACATGGCTCGCCGCGGCATCGCCGCGAGAGCCGGGGGCGCGGTACCAGGCCAGCGTCTTCAGCGTCACCATAGGGTGAACATGACGCGGGTGTCGGTGCGGGAGAGCGGGTGGTACACCGATTACGCGCGACACGGCGGCCGGGCGGAGGTGGCGGCGTAGGGTGTGTCGACGGCGGAGAAGAGGCCACCGGTGGTGACGAGGGCGGCGGCAGTGGTGGCGGGCCGGCTCCGAATCTGTGGAGCCGGCCGCTTTCAGCGATGGTAGACACGCACCGGTTGTCTGTCGAACGCGCAGCAGCAGTGTCTTTGGCCGAGGTCTCCGGACCAGCAGGCGTGGGGCAGGAGCAACACGAGTCCAGCGCCGCCGGACCCGCGCTGGGCGCAGGGTCAGGGGCCGCACCGGAGGGCGTCGAGCCGGAGCACGGAGCCGGCGAAGGGCACGGTGGAGCAGTACCTGCAGGACACAATTTCAATGGTGGCTGGTCCACCGTGTCAGTGGAAAACAGGGAGAAGAGGTCAAGGTCGGGGGTGGAAGGGGGTGGGGAGGTGGTGGAGAAAGGGAAGACGGACTTGTCAAACACCACGTGGCGAGAGATGAGGATCCGACGAGAGGTGAGGTCAAAGCAATGGTACCCCTTGTGATCCGGGGAGTACCCGAGGAAGACACACTGAGTCGAACGGGGAGCCAGCTTGTGGGGAGCAGTGGCAGTGGTGTTAGGGTAACACGCACACCCGAAGACACGAAGGTGATCGTAACGAGGGGGGGTACCGAAGAGAGCGTGGTGTGGAGTGGGAGCTGGACAGGCAATGGAAGGTAGGCGGTTAAGGAGGTAGGTGGAGGTGTGCAGGCTCTCAGCCCAGAAGTGAGCAGGAAGCGAAGCCTGGAACAGAAGGGTGCGCATGGTGTCGGTCGTGGTGCGAATCATGCGTTCAGCCTTACCGTTCTGGGAGGACGTATAAGGACACGACATGCGTAACTGCACACCGTGAGAGAGGAAGAAAGCGCGAGAGGTGGAATTATCGAACTCACGCCCATTGTCACACTGAACGGCCTTGATGGTGAGGCCGAACTGAGTAGACACCCAGGCGAAAAAGTGGAGAAGCGTGGGGAATGCATCAGACTTAGCACGCAAGGGAAAAGTCCAAGAATAATGAGAGAAATCATCAAGCACGACAAGATAGTATTTATAGCCAGAAATGCTCATAACAGGAGACGTCCATAGGTCGCAATGTACAAGATCAAAAATATGGGTCGCATGGGAAGAGGAGGTAGGGAAAGGAAGACGAACATGACGGCCCAGTTGGCATGCCTGACACAAGTGCTCATCGTGAGCCCGAGTACATGGTATGTCGGAACTACGACTAAGCTGGGTTAAAGCATCACGGCCAGGATGCCCAAGACGCCGGTGCCATGTAGTGGATGAAGTGGTGGCGGCAAAAGCAGCTGACGAAGCGGAGGGCGAAGCGGAAGAAGCAGACGCAGGAAACCGAAGGGTGTAAAGGGGCCCCGTGCTGTCACATCGAAGAAGAGGACGCCGGGAAGCCAAATCCTTCACAGTAAGACCAGAGGAGTCAAATTCAACAGAACAGGAATTGTCAGCTGTAAAACGACGAATAGAAAGGAGGTTGTGAACCATAGAGGGAGCAACAAGGACATCAGGAAGACGAAAAGAGCCATGAGTGTGAGCGGCACCCACGGAAGTGACAGGAAGACACGAACCATTGGCGACCATGATGGACGAAGGGTGGGAGGAAGGAGGATGAACAGAAGAGAGTATACCAGGGTTGGGGGTGGTGTGGAAGGTAGCACCCGAGTCGGCGATCCAGTCTGGGCCGACTGGAGGAGTCAGGGTCATGGTGCCGAAAGAGCGGGCCAAAGCCGTCGGGTCCCAACCGACAGGCCCTGGCGAGGTCCGGGTAGGTGGAGCCCACGGCGACGAGAACGGGGCGACTGGGACGGCACCAGTGAGCATGGCCGCCGGTGGACCAGGCTCGCCCCCGGGAGCCCGGAAGGGCCACATGGAGATGCGTCCTGACCAAGGGTTATTGAAGGAGGGACAGGGTGTACCCCGTGGAGGCGTCGGAGTGCTCCCACGGCCGAGGCCCGCACCACGCCCCCAGCGTCGACGACGGCCGCCACGCCCCCCCCCGCCGCTCGGCCGGAGGAGGAGGACCAAGAAGGGACGACAATGGCGGCGGCGAAGGGCGTGTGAGAGAGGAGTGGCGGCAAGAGCAGTCGAGGAAGACGAGGACCCCGGCGCGGGTAGTGACCCAGGCGGGATGCCCTGAGTGAGCTCCTCCATGACAAGGTCGTCACGGACCTGGAGGAAGGTGGGAAAGGGCCGCTACCGGGTGATCCAGGTGCGGAGGGTGGTCATGACGCTCGTTGAGGCCGCGAAGGACGTTGAGGACCAAGATCCGGTCCTCCACGGCCCGACCAAAAGGTCACCGAGGAGTCTGCCATGGTCTTCATCTTCCGCGATGCTTTTGCCAACGGAGAGGTCGCCACAGACGAAGGTCGCGAAGCTTGCGTCGAGACGTAGGGCCGGGCTTGGCGTTGCCAGAATCGGCCCTCGGCGCCCAGCCGAGCCGTGCCAGGCGGTGCTCTCGAGGTGCTGCAGACGAGGTCGTGAAGGTCGTCGAGGAGATGGTCCCGGGATCCACGAGAGGGCGATCTTTGTCGAGACGCAGACCACGAAGGGGGTCCGAGCCAGCAGCGAGCGCGTCGATGAGGACGTGGTCGTCTAGGGCGTGGCGGCGGAGGATGAGAAGGACCGAGTCCGCCAATGGCGTGGGAGGCGACTTCGAGGTCGAGGGCGACGGAACCGAGCTCGGATGTTCTGAACACCACCGGCTTGGTAGTGCAGCTGCGCGACGAGTGGATCAGCCGAGTTGGGCCAGAGAACCACTGTAGGGGATGGACGTGGAGCAGACGAGGTGGCAGTGGTGTCGTGGTACACCAGATGGAGAGGAGCTGCTCCGCCTCGGCGATCTGACGGGCCAGAACATCGGCGCATCGCGCTCCGCTCCTGAGCTTGGGCCGCCACAGCGCACGTGCACAGCCCTCAGCAGCAGCAGCCGCCCGGCAGATGAGAGCCAGCTGCGGGGCGGAGTCCGGTGGAGGCTTGCGTGAAAGCAGCGGAGGAGGCGGGCGGAAATGGAGAGCCACCCGCTGCCTTTGAATTCAGCAGCAGCGTCTTGTGTCGTCGTGGAGGCCCATGCCCAGCTGTGACAACAACAAGCGCCGCCAAGATCAGCACCACCGCCAAGCCCAAAGCTGAAAAGCCAGGCGAGAAGAGAAGCGGCGGCGGCGGCTGGGTCTCCGGGGCGCGTGCTGCTCGCGATTTGCGCCTAGGTGGAAGGGAGAGGGGGGAAGCAGTGGAAGTAGGAGGGAGGGGGAGGAGGTGGTGGGCCACCGGCCATGGCGGCAGCGGCTGCCTGCCTGGCGGCTGGGAGAGGGAGGAAAGGGGGAAACCTAATCTGATACCATGATAGAATTGTGATTCCTTAGCTTTTGGGCTAACCCTAGAAGGGTAGCTATATGGGAGTCATACATGGGCCATATGGGCCTTAATACACACATACTCCAACAGTTATCATGAATGGTTATTAAACTAAGTCATAATTATCATATGACTTCATCATTTTTCTAAGATAAGTGACACTTACAATTTACCAACCAAAACTATTTTAACAGTTCAATAGGTCATTTTCATGGTAGTCCATCTGTATACTGTATTCCAACTCAGTAGTTACTTGGATGAGACTGACATGTGGTTAGGTTCTTCTTTTCTCGAATGGTGCAGGAGAGCTGCGAGTCATTTTATTTAGAAGAGAATAAAAAACAACGGAGGAGAGGCAGAGCCTGCTCCCCCAAGAACCAATTACAGGACTCTTAGCGCCACACACTAAGAAAAACAGACGACCACTGCCCAAAAAACGCCTAAACAGCTGTGGTTAGGTTCTTGGAATCGGTATAGAATAATCCATAACAGATAAGACAAGCTCTGTCCTGGTTTAGTGGTTTACTGTTGATTGCTAGTCTGGTACTGTTTTCACATTTCCATAATGTAAACCATGTATGCTTTGATGATATTGTCTCAGTTTTTTATTTATTTGTTGTAACAATGTTCCAACATTGTCCTTAACAAGTTGTATATTCTCAGTTGAATCAGTTTCATCCTATGAAGTAAGTATGTCATCTGAGAAAGTCCCACCAACTCCACATCGAATACCTCCAAGTCCATCTAGATTTGCGCCATCTCCACAGATAGCTAGAGTTGGATCTGTCGACTTAAGCATCCAGCAGATCCTCAGGGCGACTCAGAACTTCTCATCTTCATTTAAGTTAGGCGAAGGAGGATTTGGGATGGTCTACAGGGCTGTATTGCCAGATGGCAATGTTGTTGCAGTCAAGAGAGCTAAAAAGGTAGTCTGGTGCTACCTCATGTCTTATTACTTGTTACTTATTAAACTCCATTGATTATTCTCATTCATGGGCTTTTTCAGCATATTGAGTGAAATTGTATTCCCTGCCAAATTATGTTGTCTCTTCGTATTTATTTCACTATATTTTAATACATTTATAAAATATTTTACCACTTATATTTGTACCTCATCTCAATAGCTCATGTAGTTCTGCTAATTGGTCTGCCTCTGGCAACAATGAATAAAGTTTTGTTTTTTCGGGTGTTGTTTGAGGTGTGCTGCTGTTTTTCCCTCACTATGCTATGCATAACATATGCTCTGCTGTTCATTACAGGATCAGTTTGCAGGTCCTAGGGATGAGTTCAGCAATGAAGTAGACTTGCTTGCTAAGATAGACCACCGAAATTTGGTGAGGTTACTGGGTTTCACTGATAAAGGAAATGAGCGCATTATCATCACTGAGTATGTTCCAAATGGTACTCTTAGAGAACATCTAGATGGTAAATTGTGCTTCCCATATTGTTTTCTTCACTTTTCGGTCAATTTGAATACCTTCAAATATTACATGCCTTCTTCCATTCTGCAGGTCAATATGGCAGAGTCCTGGATTTTAATCAGCGCCTAGTAATTGCAATTGACGTGGCTCATGCACTTACTTATCTTCATCTGTATGCAGGTATACTTTCTACTACCTAGATGCTGATATTTGCTTATAAATATTGAAGTGATGTGGTCTATATTTCATCAGATTGTTTACCTCTGAAATGGGCTAGCAGGTGGATAGAGTAGTGTGTCTGTTACAAATGTCATTATAATTATCCAGTTATTTGATTTGGAGTAAAATGGCCAGTTCTTTAGAGATGTAAAACATTTAATTTAGGAGAAATATTGATTCCATTGAGGCCCCCTTTAGAGCATAGGATTTGTGAAGGAATTTTTTAGGATAGGAGTCTTATAGGAGCTTTTCCTATGCAGCCCATTTGGAACAAAGGATTGGCCATCCTGAAATCCTACAAAATTCCTATTGTTTAGCTCAATCCATATGAACGCTTTAGGAGATGTAACATGTGGTTAGTGTCTTAGAAACTTTCCTGTGTGCCTCTCTCTCTCTTCTAGTTCCTGTGTTTTTCCTGTGTTGCATTGAAATGAGATTAGAATTGCTTGTGACATGCACTCCAATCTTGTGTTTTTTTCCTATTCCTATGTTTTGGGAGTTCTGTATTCAATCATTGGGTTGCATTATGCTAACTAAGGCTCCAATTTTCAAAACCAAAGTATTTCACAAAACCATGGTATTTTTTTTCTAAAACAACAAAAATACTTTGCTTCCAAACAGGGGCTAAAATATGCCATAGTTGGGTAATTTTTTTGCATTGATGATACCCAGTGCCAACCATTTTTTTTCAAATATATTTCATTTGGTGACGTTCTGGAAAGGGGCTGAGAACTTCTGTACTGTTCACAGAGAAGACTATAATTCATCGTGATGTGAAGTCATCAAACATCCTGCTGACAGATAGCTATCGGGCCAAGGTGTCCGACTTTGGGTTTGCAAGAAGTGGCCCTAGTGACACAGAGAAGATACACAAATCAACGAAAGTGAAAGGCACAGCAGGGTACCTGGATCCCGAATACTTGAGAACGTACCAGCTAACTCCAAAGAGTGATGTCTTCTCATTTGGCATATTGCTTGTAGAAATTCTTTCTGCTCGCAGACCCGTAGAACTGAAGCGAACCCCTGACGAGAGGATCACAATCAGATGGGTATGTCTGGGCAATTTCCCCTTTTTTATATTATTACCTTTTATAATGAGATCATTTGTCTGTTTTGATATTTTCTGAAATAGCTGAGTGAATGTGGCTTTGTGTTTATGCTTTTATGCAGACTTTCAAGAAATTCAATGAAGGCAACATGAGAGAGATATTGGACCCGTTGCTGGAAGATCATGTGGACGATGAGGTGCTTGAAAAGCTCCTTAGCCTGGCTTTCCAATGCACTGCTCCAACATGGGACGACCGCCCGACCATGAAGGAAGTTGGGGAGCAGCTGTGGGAAATAAGGAGAGAGTACGGAAAGAGCATCAGGAAGGTGTGAAGATCATGGACAACATTACCTGTTTTTCAAGCCTTTCCCTCAACCAAGGACTAAGCATGCTAACTATTCGTGCCCATTGGATAAACATCTATGATATGCTTCTTACTTGGAAGATGTGGTCTGAGCAATGTACTGTGCGATAACACCGCCATCAGTTTGTACTTTCATGTCTATCAGTTTGCAGTGCACTCCTCTATGGAGAATGTATATTTTGGAGTTCTCACATTTCTTGATTGTGTTGATATGGTATTCTGATGGAAGTAACTGCACAAGTTACTGCAAATGGTCTACGATTTAATTGAAGATAAATACATAAAGGGATTGTTTCTATTGGAAGACGCTTAAGCTTCCGGATGCTGTATTAGTTGAGTTCGTTTCGACCTGCTGGGGGCTGGGACCCGCCAAGGCTACAGCTCCACAGCTGTTTGCTACTCTAGCAGCATATAGCTGGTGCAGCTGCGGTAAGCAGTTCGGAATTGCTAGGGGGCATCGCAACTCATCTTCACCTTGCACGTGGAGGTATCGTTCATCGTCATTTTGTTTTTAAAAAGGAATATCCCAAATTTGAAATTATAGTGATCTTTATATTGGATTAAAGGGCCCCTGGCAGGAGAGTCATGGGAGAGAAGGCTCGTGGTCTAACAGTTGCGATAGATAAAACCGTAACGCGACGCAAGCAACAAATTCATGCAACGAATCAAATGCATTGCAAAGTTGTCAATTATTCGCAAGCTTTAGTAAAAGTGTGGCAGTAACATCTGCATATTGTAATACAAATCAAATTAATCACAACGCAAATCATACAGTGGAAGTATTGTTAAGTACCACTTGCAATCGTTTTATAAATGGTGGCAATAGCACTTACCAGTTGCAACGAAGTGCATGATAATTGTGCCACGCTAAAGTATTTGTTGCAATATTGTCCACTATCGCAACCAAAGTTGACTTAGCATAAAGCCAAAGTGAACTATTATTTGGAACAGGGAATAGTCTGGTAACTCCGTAAATAGTTGTAGGTACCTCCTCACATGCAAGAGTCTCAGCATTGGCCCCTCTTGTATGCTTTCTGTCATCTCCATTTGGTAGTGCTTTTGCCCCTAAAGAGCAGGCTACTTGTCCCATGTACAGGCACCATGACCACTCATTTTTCCTAATTTAGCAGACTCATTGAGTACAACAGTTGAGAAGCAGACACACAGACAAGGGAAAAAAGAGAACCCAGCAAAACAAGACCTTGAAGATTTCAGTCCATGTGCCTCTTCCACTGTTAACAGATTACCGGGTAAGATTCTATATTCCTGTTTAGAGGATACTGTATCACAATATAATCTCACTGCGAGTTATTGCCTAGAGTTTGTAATAGCTGACCATTATGATGTAACTTGGTGGTGGTTGGTGATCATGTAAAACATCAGACCAATGATTTGTAGTTTTTTGATTCAATATCGCTTCCCCATTAAGGATACTAAAGATTGCAATGGAGGTTTGCAACTTAAACAAGACTCTCGGCAAAAACTGTGGATATTTAGTAACTTACCGCCGTGTGTAAGTTTGTTTCATCTTACATCACACACTTGAATCTAAATTGATCTCCTTTTGGATCCGGAATCTAAATTGTTTGTAACTGATAATTAGACTTCTATTCATGTATAATTGCATTAAATGTAACAATATGGTAGAAAGCCGAAATGCATAGACACAAGCAATGGGGGAAGACGGAAGATAAAGGGGAAATTTTTTAATACTTAATCTAGTTGTCCATGAAGGGCGGGCCTGGTGCAAACGGTAGAGTCTTACGACCTGTGACCGGAAGGTCCCGGGTTCGAGTCGCGGTCTCCTCGCATTACACAGACGAGGGTAAGGCTTGCCACTAACACCCATCCCAGGACCCCCCGCAGGCGGGGAGCTCTCTGCTGACTGGAGTGCGCCTTTTTAATCTGGTTGTCCATCTGTTATCTCCACAGCCCCAGCCCCCCCCTCTCATATCATTGTTTGTGTATGAGCTTCACCACCATATCTGTTCCCTATGCCTGTATAATGTTGCACTAGTACTGCTGAAATTCCTACTTTTGTTTGCTGTTGTAGCTAATGCTACTTTTGTTGCCTATATTTTGATTCCTTGTGTTTTTAGTGGACCAAAAAATATCTATGCACCCTTCAGTTTCGTGCGTGATGACACTATTAGATGTGAAATACAGTTTTTGATAATGATTTATCCTTACTGAGTTCAGTGCATTCCCAAAACATTATGACAGAAACAAAGAAAGGAACAAGGGCAAGAGATATCAGAGTAGTCTAGTGCAGCGACGGAGCTACCGGCCGGTCAAGCCGGGCTCCAGCCCGGGCTACCGATTCCAGGTACGTGAAGCCGCCCCCCTAGCCCTCCCTTAATTTTTTTATCTATAATTACATAGATTAGGAATATGAATTGTGAGGGGTCATAGATAGTAGAGTTAAGTTGCCATAGACTTTCGTTCAGCCCGACCTAAATTTTTTTTCTGGCTTCGTCGCTGGTCTAGTGATGATGAGCAACACTCTCGGAATATTTCTGGACGCCAAGATGGTAATCTCAATGATTCCACTACATTGGACAACTTAGTAGGTAACAATCCTCCACAATATGAAAACAGGTTCACAGATCCTATGACGTAGGTTTCTGTAGGTAGAGTATAGACCGAGTTCGAATCAATGGCATGCAAAAGAGAAGAAAAGCATTTCTCTAAATCATTCGTACAAAGCCAAACCGACCTGAATAGCTGCCACCCAGCAGGACTAACGGATTCAAATTTCTGCTAATATCCCGTAGCCATGTACGTAACAAATAGGTACGATACACTATGGGGCTGGGGAAGGGATAAAGGCGCCTGAATTATAGCCCAAATAGCACAAGGAAAAGGAGCATTAAAAGAAAACAAATGCTTGTCTCATCTTCACGACAAAAGCAACAATTTTTGCTTCTCTTCCAGTTCCGTTTGGCTAACTTAACTTTAGTCAAAATTACTCCCATAATTTCCATAACCTTTTATTAATGGCCTCGTTCGGCTTACCCCATATTCGGCTTGTTCGGCTTGTTTTTTCAGCCGGAACAGTGTTTTTCTCTCACAACAAATCAACCGGAACAGCGTTTTTCAGCCAGTTTCAGCCAAGATTCAGACCAGCGAACGGGGCCGTGCATCCATCCACATCGTTGCCGGATAATGAAATTTCACCGAAAAATCTACCATATCTTGGTGGAGATTCCAGCAAAATTCATCTTGTTTCTGAGACAGGACAATATTAGCAATTCTGTGACGAAGGATATGTATATAGGACATTACTGTTTACTAGCAAATGTGTCCATGCGCTGCAACGGGATGTACTGCTTGTTGCATAATCACCTAGACGATCTATGTCTCGAAGATTTATTCAATGATTATGTCATCTGTTCAAATACATCTTAGAATCGAACTTCGTACCATTATTTGACGCATCTTAGAGTCGGACTCCGTACTAGTCTTTAGACACATATTGTTGTAACTCATATGAGGATAGATTGTGAGTCCAGGTCATATAGGGGACACGAGGGGCATGAGGGATGACTAACAAATAGAACTTGAACACGCTCCTTTAGTTCACATGTGCCTGTCTTCCACTCACCTTGTACGAGGCAATTAACTCTCCCTATTCTCCACGTTGCAATTCTGGGTGGAAATGGCATAGACACATGTATAGGTAAAAAACCGTTTTATTTATTGCTTAGCGGTTTGATTAGTTTGGTTATTAGTCAGGTAGGTTGAACCGTCAGCTAAGTGAGCTAACGCTTAAATTAGATAACTTATGCATAAAAAACACAACATTAGCTTAGTAGTGAAATTTGCTACCCAAAAATAGGCTAATTCCATTTGCTCCTTTAGAAATAACGAACGAAGCCAAACACGGAACACGAAAGGGGAAAATAAAACTGAAAGCCCCGTTCGCTTCGTTGAAAAAACAAACCGAAACACTGTTCTGGCTAATTTGTTGTGAGAGAAAAACACTTTTCGGCTGAAAAAACAAGCTGAAAAGTACGGATTATAAGACATGTGAACATGACCGAAGAAGAAAAAACACGAAAGAAAAAAAAACTGAAAAGGGAAAAGACATGGAAGAAAAGACAACCAAAACAGAAAAACAAAAGAGAAAACTGAAATGAAACAAACATGGGGTCACATAAAAACGGAACGCAACGGAGAAGATAGAGATGGAAAAAAAACATGGGAAAAAAGAAAAACAAGGAATGGGATATACGGAAAAAAAACACGTACTTTTCCATGATTTAATATTAGTATACTTTAGAATAAAATGTCTTGTTTCTGAGATAGAACAATATTAGCAATACTGCGACCATGGATATGTATATTGAAAGCTTAAGTCTTGTGTTTATCTATCTTAGGAGCAGTTGGTGCGTATATCAGCATCTTATCTTATCATCTTGCTTTAGCATCTTGTCGGTGTTTCGAGTTACCACCGATGATTAAATTTCTAGTATTGTGTGTCTGGCTCGGATGGTGTGCTTAGAGGACATAAGGTTTATACTGGTTCGGGCAGAAAGTTCCTACGTCCAGTTCGTCGCTGCTGCTCGTGTTACTAGCACTGAAAGTTTATAGTAGAGGTTACAAACTGGCAAGAGAGGGAAAGGATCCTAAGTCTCTGGTGGAAGGAGTGAACGGGTGCTGAAAGCTCGAGCGCTGCTCAGTCGTGTGCTCGTGTCGCGCTTTGTGCGGATCTGGATCTGATCGGTTTTCGATCGGTCGATCTGGCTTGAATCGGATCCCCTTCATGGAACACCCTGCTTTCCCTTTTATAGGTCAAGGGAAAGTGTGGGTTACAGCGGAGGAAAAGAGAAGAACGAAAGAGAAGAAGGCCTTCAGGATCGCCGGGTCCTTCTTCACGAGGGTCCCACCGATCCTGTAGATGTCAACAGGGACGGCTCCACGTCGCGGCCCTGTTCGTCACTGGCGCCATGCGCATGCGTCGTCTGT